CTGTGCATTCCATCTGATGAAATCCATGTGTGTAGTCATCTTTTATGTTGTTTTAAAAAAGTTATTTGCAATGAAAAAGTCATTGGTCTTGCAAACTTCTATCATTCAATCTCCAGTATTATTTCTATCACCAAGGCCATATTTTCCAACAACTGATTCTCCCTCTTTGTTTTCAACCTTTGCATTCTAATCACTGGTAATTATCAATACATCATGATTGCATGCTTGATCAATTTTAGACTGAAGAATTTAGTATAATTCTTTCATTTCATCATCACTGGCCTTTGTGATTGGTGCTTAAATTTGAATAATGTATTATCTGGTCTTCCTTATAAGTGTATGGATATTAACCTACCACAGATAGGATTGTACTTCGAGATACATCTTGAAATGTTCTTTTTTATGCTGAATGTGCCACCATTTCCTCTTCAATGTATCATTCCTGCCATAGTAAACTATGTGGTTTTCAGATTCAAAAATACCAATACTAGTCCATTTCAGCTTACTAATGCCTAGAATATCGAAGTTTATGCATTCCATTCATCTTTGACAAATTCCAGTTTTCCTAAATTCATACTTTGTGCATTTCATATTCTGATTATTAACTGATGTTTACAGCTGTTTCACCACATTTTGAGTTGTGCCCTATCAGCAAATGGTTTACTCTATTCCTGTCATCACAGTCAACTCTACTTTGAGGAGATAGCTCTTCTCCAGTAGTATTTTGAGTAATATTCCCCAGCCCCTCTCAACTTCAGGGGCTCATTTTCTGGCACTATATCTGACAACATTCTGTTACTCTTCATCATGTTTCAATATTAAATACTCTGGTATGATCTGACAATGCTCCACTGCTGTTCATAAGGCTTTCCGTGACTACATATTCAGAAGTCGTCCATCTCTCCTTCCTAGTCTGTCTTAGTCTAGAAGCTCATCTGAAACCTGTTCACCATGGATGACCCTGTTGATATTTAAAATACTGTTGGCACAGCTTCCAGAATTACAGTAACATGCAAGCCACCACAGTACAGCAAATTGACAGCTTCAAATATTAAACCACATATGTTTTGTTTTTAATAAGTGCTATCAAGTTGGTTCAGACTCATAGTGACCTTGTATAGCGTTTCCAAGGAATGACTGGTGAATTTGAACTGCTGACCTTGTGGTGCAACCTGACCTTGTGGTCTAGTACTTTATCACACAGCATTAAACCCAGCCACCTTTTCCCCTGTAACTGATGAAGATGACTGTCCTTCCCATGGTTGTGTAGATCTATCTGATTTCCCATAGTGACTTAAAGGAAATTTGATTTAAAACACCTTATATGATATTATTTGTAGATGATTTTAATGAAAGCAAACTCCTGACTCCCATTATCAGGTTGATCTCACTTTTACAACTATACTTTTAAGTCCTTGAAAGCCATCCACTTCCCCAAACCACTTTAGCCCAACTGGCTGGATTTATTGCTTTTACTTGAGCCAGAAAACTTGCTAAAGGGAAACCTGTGAATATGTGTATGGATTCAAAATATACATTTAGAATTATTAATGATTGTGGCATGCTATGGAAACAAAAAGGGTTCTTAAGCTCTTTTGGTCATACTATGAACATTTTCACTTTAGTAGCAGACCTTTAGATGCCTGTTGCTCCTTTCTGAAATGGCTATAATTAAAATACAGATGCACCAATCAAATGGAGTGCTCCAAAGTGAAACATTTGGGAAAACTGCTAAATAGGCTGCTTCCCAAATTATTGTTAACTCAAAAAATCTGGCTGTTACCAAGACAATATTACTAAACTATCATTAATAATTGGAATGAAAATGTTTTTTTTTTTTATCAAATTAATTCGATTAACACCACTAATCTGACTGAATTCTGGGTATATCATTCTTCCCCTTAGTCCACACAAGACCAACCATATTACGTAACCTTGCTGTACCTTCACAGTTTAATATTATATATTAATACATGACTTATTATTGTTTTGAAAAATCATTTAAATGGGTCATTCACATCAAAATAGGTTCACCTCCAGAATTATTCACTTATATACATCTGCACACAATTTAAATCTTATTCATGTTTGGTTGTGTCCTAATAGTTCTATTCAAACAAAACAATGTTTTGTTTTTAGTAATGCTTGATATTATTTCTCATTAATGATTAGCTGTCATAATTAATCATCAAAATTCCCCAGCTTGTGCCCAGATCTAGAACTGCCTAGAAATTGCAGAATTATCCATTTGTAATGATTCACTTACTGCACACTGGCTCTAAAGAGTTCATTATATTTTCTAATACTAACACTGTGTTAGATATGTTATGTGCCCCATCTAGACATGTCTTTTATGCTAAGGATTAGCTTATTTAAGAGAAAGCATATAACTCACCCTATTAATTGGGCCTTGCCATACTTAGAAGTTTAGAATATGTGGGGCCAATGTACCAAGATGCTCTTGGAGTTCCCACGAGAATCCATTCACATGATGGCTTACTACAGAACCCAGCAACTGCCATCAAGTCAGTTCTGACTCATAGTGACTCTAACACACAGAGTAGAACTGCTCACTAGGGTTTCTAAGATGGCAAATCTTTATAGAAACTGTTTCATCTGTCATCTGTAGAGCAGATGGTGGGTTTTAACCACTGACTGTTTGATTAGAAACCCAACCCAATGCTTAACTCATTGTGCCACCAGGGCTCCTACTATGGAACGGTGACTTTAAATTAATATTCCAATAGCAAAGATAACTTGTCCTCTCAGATAATACCATTGTTGATAGGCTTAGATGGGGCTGGTCATTTCTTTGAACGTTTGTTCTCATGTATGGCATATTACAATTAGGAAAATCTATTTGAAACCTATCTGCCAATATGGCCAAAATTGCTGATAATGTTACTGATGGAATGGCAACTCAGCAAAAGTCCTTAGAATTGCTTGCTGTAATTGTTTTAGATAATAGAATAGCTTGATTTTCTCCTAGTTCAAGGAGGAGAAATTTTTGCTATTACTAATATCGCTTGTTATTCATGGATAAACACTTATGGAGAATAAAGTAAGACATTACTAAAATACATCAAAATGCCTCCTGTTTACATAATATTACCCCCCAAATCCGTACTTTCTTTCTTGGATATTTTTAGTTGGTTACCTCAAAGTATCAAGTCTGGTATTTGCTGTTTTCTACTAGCCTGCCTATTCCTTTCAATCACTGAAATAGTTATTATAAAAACCCACCCACTGCTGTGAAGTCAATTCCAACTCACAGTGAGCCTGTCTACATATAGGACAGAGTAGAACTGCTCCATAGGTTTTCCACGGCTATACAAATTTATGGAAGTAGATTGACTTAACTTTCTTCTACAGAGTGATTGGTGGGTTTGATCCCCTGATTTTTCAGTTAGCAGCCCATGGCTTAATTCATTGCACTACCAGGGCTCCTTATTGTTTTTATAAGCTTGTTAAATGTATTGTGTATTGTGTTTCTCATTGACATAGCCAACCCTGAATGTATCAAGCCATATAATTAATCTTGTATTCATAAGAAATTAATTTTGCTAAGAGGAATTAGGTTTAGTTCTGAAATCATACCTTTTAGAATGCCAAATTGCTCCTCTAATGTGACCCTGTTTATACCTTACTTAATGAGGCCATAAAAAATAGTAAGGCAACAGGGCAAGGTGCCTGATAATCTCTAAAAATAGAACATGTGTCTAGCCTGCTTAGTCACCCAAACAGGCCCTTAGTCAGCCTTTAAGTCTGGAAATGAACTCACCATGATCATGGCTCAATTTTCAGCTAAATAATAGAGAGGCATTAGTGAAGTAAATGCATACCTTAGCTTAATCAATAATTTGAAATCAAAAGAGCAGCATTCTTTAACCAAAGATACAGTCCAGATGGCTTAGAGAAGATGGAAACAGGAAACACTGGGAGGGGATTGCATTCAATGAGATGAATCAAAATGTAGTATGAATTATTGAAAGTTAATTTTTTTTTTCAAATAGAGCAGTCATTCCCCCAAATACTAAACTCTTGCAGAATTCCTTTATGAGTGCTCAAAATGGGAAGAATGTTCATGTAAGCCAATGTCCAAACTGAGGCACTTGGCATAACTAAAACAGCTACCTGATGTCTAAGTTTACCACATTTTAAGTCAAACTACAGCTTGATCTTCTGGTGTTGTGTTGTAGAATAAGCACTGAACTGTGAACCAAAATGTTGGCAGTTCAAACCCACCAACTGTTCCTCAGAAATCCTGTAAGGGTAGCTATGAGTCAGAATCGACTAGATGGCACGTAACTACAAAAACAAAGTTTGGCCTAAAAACCTTGCCTCTACTGCTTTTCAGAAAGAGCTCCGGTCAGCAGTTCAAAACTACCAGCAGCTCCAGGAGAGAAAGATGAGGCTTTCTGCTCCCATAAAGATTTACAGCCTCAGAAACACTATGCAGGGTCTCTATGAGTCGGAATTGAATCCACGGCACATAACCACCGCTACGACCACTGCTTTGCAGAAATAATTGAGATTCTTGTAAAAGTGTAACTGCTTGCAACTCAAAATGATCAAAAATGTAAATTTTAGCTTGTAGGAGGAATTATTAAAAGATGTATGTAGAGAGTATTTGCATGGAGTGATCCAAGAAGGATGCCTTGGTCAACATGTCCCATGAGGTTAAGAAACACAAATGATAGTGTCAACAAAGACAATAGTTTAACAACCTCCGTGTAACTGTCTGTCATGCACCCTCTCAGGCCTAACATCACATAGTCCATTGTTTACTCCGCCCTATTAAAACCTAACTCAATGCTTGCAATTTGAGTCACTACCGTATCCAGCCTGGGTGTTACTGTTTCTTCAGATACGCAAATCTCTCTACTCTTTGCTTTCACTTCTAACAGAATGTAAGGTAGGTGCTTTGCTATGACAGGAGATAATACATAATTGGAGCAATCAATTTTAACAATAAACAATAGTTTAAATTGTTTCCTTACCCCACGGTACTGGCTTTCATTAAAAATCTGAGGTGGCAAGGGGTACCCTGTAGCTGGTCGATTGTTTTCAGGTACATTTTCTCTCATCCACTTCCGATTCTCTTCATTAGCTGCAATATCTTTTTCTTCAAATCCTATTTTGTTGGCTTCCAAGAAACCAATCACATCTTGCTGTTTCTTCTTAATCTAGGACCCAAATGACATGAGACTATATTGTGACTAAATAACTTTGGTTGTTTTTATTTTCAAATTCAATAAACATCAGTGTTTGTAAATTAGCAGAAATGAATTCAGATATAGATTTTTTTTAAATGTGTGGTGTCACAGAAGATACGACAGGGCTTCAAAATGTTCAGAGAAAAATGGAATTGAAAGCAAACCCCACATTTAAGCATGCAGAATTAGGCTAACTGATGCACATCAATATCCTAAAGAGGTGCAGTTAACTAAAAACTGTGTGTATTGAGCAGCTTAGTTTCTGATTAGATAAAACTTATTTTAGTTTCAGCCTTTGTTGAAATGAAAGTCTTTCTAAGCAGTCAGAAATCATTTCCCAGTCTTTAAAACCATTGTACAGTGAGCAAAAATGAATCTTTCCTTGAGAATCTTACAAAGCCTCAGAGTCACTTTAATCTCAATTCTAACTCTGCAGAAGAGAAGCTGAAGAATAGATTAAGCTAAACCTGTCTGAAAACTAAATTGGAATATACCAGTACCACTCGTTAACTCATAACATGTGCTTTTAAAGTTTTTTTCATGTGTTATCTGTACTTCTTCTTCAACTAGATTAGCAACTAAGCATAGTACATTTATTTTGTCTCCTTATCACCTGTAGGAAAGTGCTCTGAAGTTAGAAAATTTTAAACTTATTTAAGTTTCCTCCCTCATGTGTATTTCTTTTAGAGTCCAAATTCACACATCTGCACTAGTTTACTCATACTTAAAAGCCACTTGTAACAATTTTTAACATATTCAAAAATAATGTTTTTTCATGAAACCACACAACAAAGACACATGAGACAGAGCAAACACAACCAAAATAAATAAGCAGTCCTGTCAATTTGGAATGAAAATGTAAAATGAAAAGCTCACAAATATCTGGATTCACAAATACAAAAACACACATACATGCATGCATGCATGCATGCACAGAGGTTGCATTTTGGGGGGGGGGGTGTAAAATATGTATAACAAAAAGTTTGCCATTTTAACCAAGTTTTAGTATACAATTCAGTAGTATGCATTATATTTAGTGTGTTGTGCTATCATCATTATTTCTAAAAGCTTTTCATCACCCAAAATGGAAATCCAACACCCCTCAGCAATTACTCCTATTCCCTACTCCCTTCAGTCCCTGGTAACCACTAATCATCATCTGTCTCTATAGATTTGTCTAATCTAGATATTTCATGTAAGTGGAGTCATACAGTATTTGTCCTTTTTTGTCTTCCATTTTGTTCACCAGGTTTTCAAGGTTCAGCCATGAAATGGCACATACCAGGACTTAATTTTCTCTCTATAACTGAATAACATTCTATTTTACTCAAATGGTTATAACATATTTTGTTTGTCTGTTGATAAACACTTGGATTTTTTTCACCTTTTAGCTATTTTGAGTAATGTTTCAATGAACACAGGTATGCAGGTATCTGTTTGAGTCCCACAAAGGTTGTCTATGTTATCTTCTAATTTGCTTGTGATTGTGTATAAAAAATTCTCTGACATAATTTAACTAAAAGAAAATAAAAATTCTAAATTATCCCAATGGAAATAGAATTTCTACATACAAGTTAGATCAAAGTCCAGAATTTTTCTTTAAAGATCACTTACAGCCCAACAAAATTTTTCAAGTGAAATTCTATTTCCTTATTAACTAGTAAACTGAGACTTTTATTACTAAACAAAACATACTTTTCATTCAATAGTGAGTAACTGTTATCATGACTAGTTGTGATGGTCACAACTGTAATGGTAGAAGTTGTGTAACAACTTTAATTCCAGTTATTCTTTCATTCCAGGAACAGAGGACCCTAGGACCATCAGGAGGGAAGAGCGTAAGCAGAGCATGAGATCCTAACCAGAGAAGCAGTAATAACAGAGACAGTAGCAGAGGTGTTGACAAAGAGATATACAGCAGCTGAGGGCTCTAGACCCCTGGAATAAGAAAGGCTGTTTGGCCAAAAGCTGGCTTGCAAAATGTGCCCTTTGGTCATTTAAATGAATATACATTTTCTGTGTGTTTTGTGTACATTTTTTTTTTTTTAAAGAGGGATTCTCTAATCAAATACTGTTAATTGATGGTGCCTGGAGGAGATTGTAATCATTGCAATGAAAGAATGAAAGGTTGAGTACAAAACTGATGCTCTGCCATGTAATCTATCACTCAATTCACAATAAACACTTTAATAAAAACAAAAAACATATGCCCACTTTTGAGGAAAATCAACATCCAAGTCAATAAATATTCAGGAATGGTTCCAGTACACTCATACATTATGTGGAAATGCTGATAAATTCATAGCTCTCAATCCCCATGGTCTAGTAATGGAATTTGATTAGTATGAAGTTTGGCAAATAATTTGTCAATCATATGCAAACTTAATAATGTAAGTAAAATTGAAGATAGTGGTGATCCTGTGTCGTTGAGTCATTTCTGACTCAGTGACCATATATGGGGTTTCCGAGGCAGTACATTTTTATGGAAGCAGAAAGCCTCATCTTTTTCCCAGAGAGTAGCTGGTAGATTCAAACTACTGACCTTGTGATTAGCAAGCCAACACATAACCACTATACTACCAGGGCTCCTTAGAACTGAAAATACTCCATTGTAAATGTTATTTTCAGACACATGACATTTTTTTAAATGAGAGTAAAGAATGGAATCTAGTGATGAAATTTTTACATAGTTCTGGGTGAATGTTATCTTTCATATTTTTATGACCTAACCAAAGGTGGAGGATCTTTAAGATAAATGACTTTTTGAGACCTTGCCCTCCTTAAAAATGTATTGAACATTTACTATGTTCACTGTGCTAAATTAAGATGAGTTGCCACTGGATATGATAAAATGCTTTCACTGATATTTTTACCCTCCCTCTATCAGCTCTGGATCACAACTATTTCTCCTATGCTCAGAGATTTTTCTGATGAGAAGTAAACATGACTCTTTGAGTGATCTGAATCTACACAAGGCTGGTGCGAAAATGATGACATCAACCATCCCTCTCACAGTACTCTACACATCTGGGTTTGATAATTAATTGCAATGCCCATATAGAACTCAGACATCTTATTCACAGTTATTTTGTTGTTAAGTGCAGTCGAGTCGGTTCCAATCCATAGCAACCCTGTACAGGGTTTCCGAGGAGCTGCTGGTGAGCTTGAACCACCGACCTTGCAGTTCAAATGGCTTTGCAGTCTGATGCATTAACCCACAGTGCCACACCAGGACTCATAATTATAGGGCTTATTAAAGAAGTTAACATGCTACAATTTAGGGTCAGAAATGCTCAGGGCACTGTTTTTCCTGTCAGGACAGCTTCTCTTCAGCTGTGCCCACAGGCAGGCCTCTCTCTGCCCAATCAATATTACACAAGTCTCTTAGGGCTGCTGATAAATGCCCACAGGACACATCATTCCACCATAAACCTCAACCTGAATGCACTTAGCTATAGCTCTGTGGGTCATCAAACCTAGCTCCCCTACTTAAGTATTTGCAGGCACCCCATTCTGCAAGCAAGCCTCCTACCCAAAATCACTCTACTTGCTCAAGAGCTTGGGAAGCCCACCACTCTATCTCATGCTCTGGCTCTTGGTTCTGCTACTCCTCTTCCACTCCTTCAGTGTCACAGCTTTCTGTCACTGATTCTAGGAAATGCAATGCACAGGGATCTCAGTGTCCAGAGGACACACTCCCTTCCTGGTTCTTCTTTGATGGTAGTGAGATCCCCACTCCTACTTATGAGATGATGACACCCATCCTGACAACCCAACATTGGCCAATTCTCTCATTAGATAGTAACATTGGCCAAGCCTCTCATTAGATTTCCAAGTGTTGACAATCAACAACCCCATTAACAATCACTCACAAGTGAATTATATAACCCATCAGCGTCTTCTCTGACGTTCTCTTCTGATGGGAGTTTACAAAGAGTATAGCTAAAAGAAAGGAGCACTGGTAGTGTAGTAGATTACTAGCTAGGCTGCTAAATGCAAGGTCAGTAGTTCGAATTTACCAGTCACTCCATGGGAGAAAAAGGAGGCTTTCTGCTTCCATAAAGATTTATAGCTTCAAAAACCCTATGCATGGTCATTATGAATCTGAACCAACTCAGAAGCACACACCCACCACCACCATGGCTAAATAATTCATGAAATAATTCAGTGTACTGCAGTTGAACAGAAGGGGATATTCACACTTTATACCTACATCTTTGCATGTCAAATATGAACAGTTGCTAGGCTTTGAAGCTGCAGGGAATGCAAAAAAAAAAAAAAAGTTTCCCTACTTGATCATAACTTTTAACTCCAAAATTTCTTATTTTGAGTTTATTTCCAACAAAAGATACTTTGTCTAAAGAATTATTGCCTTTCTTATATGCATACAGCAATGTGTTCACTATAACAGATTTTGTCATAAGGGCACCCAGTGATGCTAATTTCCTATTTATTTAATGGAATTTAAAAGTACACAGGCAAGTCCATGTAGAAAGAGCCAGTTAGATGGTGGAGTAGGAAGAAAGGCTATAAAGACCCTCTACAACAAAGATAAGGAAAATCAAATGAAACAGATGCAGATGACAGTCCTGGAACCCTGAGTTTCATGTGAAGAGACAGAGGAGTGGATTGAATGCTTACTAAGAGAGAAAGGTGAGCAGACACAGCAAAAAAAAAAAAAAAAAAAAAAAAAAAAAAAAAAAAAAAAAAAAGACATAAGATATACTGCTGATCTGTGCTGGCCAATCACACATTGCATGACCATCAAACTTTTGTGAGCAGCTTCAGAGACAAGACAGCATATTGTCATTGCAGAAACATACCAGTGACTCGTGGAGATAAAGGTGCAGATTTTTTTTTTGAAAAAACACAAGAAAAGGTTTTCATGCTAAAAGAAAAATTCTTTTGTGGTTTCCAGGGATGGGAGGGAAGGGAGAGTAATTTACTGGCTAGAGGGTTGTTGTTGTTAA